ATTGTGATAACTCACTGAATGATGCCTCCCTGTGCATTGGGGTAACTCAGAGGAACTTAGATTGCAATTTGGGCACTTACATTCTTTGGTATTTTTTGTACAAATTTATTTTATGCAGATGGGTGTTTTGTCTGCATACATGTCTGTGTACCATACATATGCAGTGCCCAAGGAGGTCAGAAGAGGGTATCAGATTCCTTGGAACTGGTGTTATAGTCTGTGTGAGCTGCCACAAGGACACAAGTCCTTAATGTACTTTATTAAATTTATGTACCTATTGATCCCCTTATAAAGCACTTTTCCCTCAAGAGCATCAGGAAAACATTAAATCCTGTCAAACTATGAGTATTTTGGAACCAGGAAGCAGTGCTTTATGGGTTTAATTTTAATTGCCCTCCCCCTAAATAATCTAAGAGAATGGTGGTTCAAGAAACCAAATCAGATAAGTACTTCTGTCAGTAACAACACACAAAGACAACATTAATTCTTGTTAGTTTTCAGGATTAAATAGCCACTTCTTAATGCAAACCAGAGTCTGGGTTGGACATGGCTCCAGTGAGCACGTATGTATTAGAAGAAGGGTATTTTTCCTCTGTGTGCCACACCACTTTGAGAGGGAGGCATACACCTAAGATTCCAACACATGATGCTAAGAAATGTGAAATCAGTTTAGAGCCTTCAGCCCAACACAAAAGCACACAGTCTATGTACTTATGGTCTTTTCTACATTAAAAAACTGAAGGATCCACGTTATCCTTGGAAGCAGCAGATTAGGTCCCGCCAACTGCATTTTTGCATCTGCAGACATATTTAAAGTATCCACACGGAGAAGGGCAAATATCTTAGTCATAAAATCTTATTAGTCCTTAGGGTTAATTTACTAGCATGATCATAAAGACAATTATTAGGTAAGGCAAAAAGCAGTATTAGGTAGTATAGAAAATGACATCATTTTAGCATATGCAAAGCACAAGGTAGCAACATAGGTTATTGATATTCATCTTGCATAATGTATACTAGTATGTTCTTATTCTCTAATCATGGTTCTCTCATATGAGACATACAAATACTCACCAAAAGCACAATTTAAACCTCATAGACTGAAGTGTATGGTTCAATTTAGTCAGTGCTAATAACTTAACCCACTTCTAATTTAAATTTCAAGGAGTACCTGGGCATTTGCTAGAGGATGAATTAACATGATATGGATCTAGGACCCCAAACTGATTGCTTAATTAGATACTCTAATATGAATTTAATTCTGAGATCTCTTCTGCTTGAAATAGTGAATTGTTTTCTCTATCTTCAGTTTGACTATGCTTGGATAGATTTTAAAACATGCTGATATCAGAAAACTCATAATTTCCTTTTACAAATTCATAAAAGAAATGAGTGACTTAGAACAAGGATCTTGAAATATTTCATTGCTTGGGGGGGGCAAGATAAGGCAAGAACGTGACTTCAGTTTCAGAGCACATGGTTATTGTGGCATTTAGTTTTCTGGGACTGAACTATTAATATGCACATTTTTCCTCTCACTCACACCACAACACAGCTAAAGAGGAGAGTACTGATTTAGTCTGTGGAAGGCCATAGAACTCTGTTGCTGTAACCTTCAGGCAATTGTAGAGGCAGTTTAAGTGCTAATGGCACAAAACTCAAGGGAGGCATCCAATGGGATTCCGGATTAGCGAGAAGGCTAAGAAGCCCCTCTGTGCTTCTAAGATACTCTAAGGAAGGTCAGTGGAGGGGCCTGCTTCATGGAAGCACCAAGAGTGTATCCCAAAGCAGAACAGAGAGAACTTCAAGATTATTCTTTTCCCATTGGTCAAAGGTGTTGTATACCACACAAGCACTCCACTTTTATAAAGAAGTCATTTCAAGCTTTAGACTTTATTTACAATGATAATTTTCATATTTTTTATTACTTAGAAAATAATTTATACTTTTCCATCATTTAACAAACAAAGAGTAGGCCTGAGTCTCACGCCTTTTGCACAGCTTTTACCTTCAAGGAAGTTCTCTGGGAAAGAAAGGCCAGAGGACACGGGGAAATTGCAAATATCTACAGCTACTAAACAGTCTGCAGGGTATGCACTTCCTTCTCGTTAGCATTACTGGGACTGCCATGATTAATGCTTGTTCTGGAGTAAATCCCAAACAGAACAGGGTTCAGTGATAGAGGAAGGCAGATACTTTTTCAAACTGGAGGCAGTTCTCTTAATGCCAGAAGATGACAATACACTGACTATCAAGTACATGTCCTACTGAGAACAAAACCAGGTCTTACATAAACAAGCACATTTTTTTTTCTTACAGTTAAGTAAAACAGGAAAAGGGTCATTTCTACTAAGTAAATGCTACTCAAAAGGTCAGCCGGCTTCGATCACCATAAAGACATTCAGTTTATGTTGAAAATACCATAGATAACATGCAGAACACACTTATGCTTTTACTCTGGAGAGAGCAGCTGGTTCCCAATTTCTCCTGCCATTGACATGTTATGGCTATCTATAAAACTATCTTTTCCCTAAGTGGGTAGAGACTCCTCCACTGGGAGACCTGAGTTTATCAAATGGCACCTGTATAGGCTCATATAAAACTGTAGTAAATCACATCAAACACATTGGCACCACAGGAAGTTAACTCTGAAGTTGGAGGTGAATACAGTAATATTGCTGTCGCCAAGAAGGTGGACAACATCATTCATGGAAAATACCTTTGATGACATTTGATACACTTTGAGAATTATTAGGTGGCTCTTTAGGGCACATATTTGATGGATTTCCACCCTTCCATTCAGTTTGTTATCTTTTGGTTTGAGTAGAATGATAATTTGTTTGCTGAGAAAAAAAAATCAATCTGCCTGGATGAACGAGCACAGTTCTAGAGCGGATAGATTCCAATGCTTTGTTCATTATCCTGTTACTTCATGTACTTTAAAACAAGCGTTTGCTGAGATCCTTGTGATGTAACCAGGTTGAATCCTACTCACATTCTTCAGCGTTATTCAAACTCCCCATATAAACACTCACCATGGATATGCCAATCCCCTCACTCCGTACCTAGCTTGCTTGACTATTTATACTTATGTTACAGACATAAATCCACTTGATGATGTAGATAAGCAACCGAGTGATGAATATATGAATGTAAATGCTTTGTTTATCATTTTTATTGCAGGGCAAGGTTTATATTTATTTACCTTCACTGAAGAAGAGTTCTCGCTTCAGAATAGATTTACAAACAGGGACACATGGGCACCATAAAGAAAGAAAAATTATTCAGGACCTGCTAAATGCTGAAGCCCTGGCATTAACTCAGAAGTACACAGAGACACATCCTAATTGTTTGGGTGAGGCCTGAATCCTTCCAATCCTCTTTGCATTGTCCTCTGAACTAAAAAAAAAAAATCTCTGCCCTGAAATATTTGATTTTTTTTTTTAAATTTCATTTTTGTCTATTAGGGGAAAATGCTGTGAATTACCAGAAAAATGTTGCTTTTGAAGAGAAGGGTACATGACCCATTTATGGGAGACAAAGAGATCTTTAATGTAAATAATCAAGGATGAAAAAAGGTAGAAATCTATGCACATGTCTCAGAGGCTATGACTAGAATTTTGTGAACACAGTACTGAACCAGAAACTACATGCAACAGAGTTTAGGAGAAATGCTAACAATTTGTTTAAGAAATGCTTTCATCAGGCTGGGAAAGACTTCAAATTAATTCAGTTAGCAAAAATGCATCTTTTCAATGCCTTAATTTAACAGCAAATAACTGTATCAGATCATGAATCAAACTAGAATAGGCAGATGGCTGGTGGTTCTCAAATTCCACAATAAATCATCACCCAGCTACTGTGCTTGGAGATAGGTACAATGTATAAAAATGGTGATTAAAATATAACTATAAAATGTTTCCCTTTCCCCTTTTTTTCTTTAAAAAAAGTTTTCTATCTACAGAAACAAAAAAATTTCTTTATATTTACATTATGATAACTAGTCATGACATATGTAATGATATCCAATAAAATATTGAAAGTGAGTATCAACTTTTTAAATAGAGGTTTGGCTCACAGCATAAACAAGTGTAGAAAACAAAACAAAATAACACAAATAGCTTCCAATAGTCTATCTTCAAAGAATAACCCCCACCCATTTCCTTTCAACAAAGAAGCATGACCGTGGTCCAGACTGCAAAGCCATGCTATGCTTTCACACAGTGTATGGAAGACCACAACAGGGATGTCAGAGCAAACAATCTTCAACAGTTGCCAAGAGGCAGCTTTCCCCAGACCAACTTCCAAACCCTAAGTTGACATTTTGCCTTCATCCCTTTGTCACAGAACCCATGATGAGTTTGTTGACTTTCTGCTTTATTACAACATATCTTGCATCAAATTGAGAAGACATGGGGTATCATTGCTATAGGTACTTTCCCAGGCCTTTCCCAGTGCCCTCTTAGAACTCTTACCTGATGAAGAGCTGACTCCAGCTCCTTTTGGGTGTCCACCAGTAAAGAACACCATCCTCTTCACTGGTGATTGATCCTAGGTGAGTGACATGTGTACTCACACAAACCCCTTATACATTCATTAAGCGATGGTAGACCAGAAAGCCTTAGTCTTCTGAGTGTGAGGCTGGTTGTAGAGTGCCCCCAAGTGGCAGGTAGCAGTGGTACCAATCATGTGGCCCACACAGGCCCTCCCTCTGCTAAGGAACCATCTTAGAAGCTAAAAGGAGGGCTGCCATTCATTCAAAGACACTGCAGAAAGGATTTCCTTCTCTGTGTTCACATGTACTTCATCACCTGCTACGGCTATTCTACGAACAACTAAATCATAAACATCTCCCTTGCCTCATGCACACACATGTACAAGACCACTCTCTCTCTTCTCTCTCTCTCTCTCTCTCTCTCTCTCTCTCTCTCTCTGTCACACACACACACACACACACACACACACACACACACACACACACACA